ATACAGGTTTTATCCCAAGGGAAATATGTGTATATCCCGAGGGACCGCAGGGACCGAGGGATATACACATATTTCCCGAGGGATAAACCCTGTATCCAAAACCGACCGTACATAACAGATGTATTTCATACCCACTGACAGTAGGACGACACATTGAAAAAACCCATTGTTGTTTACCAAACTTTATATCAAAGTGGTGTAGCGATATATGACGTCATCGCACTACTTGTTTCTGGTCCGTTGGCTACCATCTTTATGAGGTCCAATGAAACGGGAAACATTTAAACATTTGAAAATGAAAGTGACGGATAGAATTCTACTGATCTCTTCTTTCCAACTATCTCATTTTAATGTTAGAAAAGTGCACATAAATGGGAGTAAAATGCAATCAAACACGTGAGACTTTCACTCATTTTGTACCCTATATTCGTGCGAAATTAACATTGATTAAACATAATTTTTTTAAATGTCTGAATCGCTTAAAAGTTAAAGTAAATACGATATTTTATAAGTACCAAATATCAATCATTTCCGATAAAATGCCTTTATTTGTTACATTTTCTACGAAAACGGCTGGGCATAATTTTGGTAGAAATGTGTCTTTTACGACGTTATATGCATGGTTGAATCCAAAAAGTAGCGTCATTCAGGAAATTATCATATGTGCGTAAAATCATGTGGATATTTCATTTTGAGTAACTGAATTATCAAATTGACATATATATTGTCTTTGGAACATCACCTTTACACAGAATTATTTTCATAATGATTGCTCGATTTGTTCCATGATGAAATGCAATTTTAGACCTGGAGCTGACTCGTATCAAAAAGTATTTAGCAATGAGTTCAGGCTCACTGATTTTAAAGATAGATAAAATGAACGAAAGGGAAAAGGTTGTGTGCGCCTAAAAGCATGTGGATATTTAACTTTCAATAAATGAATTACAATTTTGATGTTTATATAATCTGAAGAACATCACCTTTACACATAATTATTTTTATAATAATTGTTCGATTTCTTTCATGATAAACTGCAATTTTAGACCTGACACGTATTAAAGAAGTATCGGACAATTTATCTAGGCCCACTGATTTTTAGGATAAAAGAAATGAGCAAAAGAAGAAAATGTCACGTGTGCGCAAAAGCGTGTCAATATTTGGATTTGAAGAATTGAATTAAAGTTTTGACATTAATATTATTTGTGAAGCATCACCTCAACATTGAATTACTTTTATAATTTTTGCTTGATTCCTTCCATGAGAAAATGCAATTATAGACCTGACACGCGTATGAAAGAAGTATATATTTGACAATTGCGTCCAGTCTCATTGGTTTTCAAGGTAAATGAAATAAGCAAAACTGGAAAAGGTCATGTGTGCGTAAATGCGTGTCAGTATTTAATTTTGAAGAAATGAATTAATTTTTTGACATTGATATTATTTGTTAAGCATCACCTTAACATAGAATTATTTTTATAATTTTTGCTTGATTCCTTCCATGAGAAAATGCAATTATAGACCTGGCACGCGTATCAAAGAAGTATTTGCCAATTGCGTCCAGTCTCATTGGTTTTCAAGGTAAATGAAATATGCAAAACTGGAAAATGTCATGTCTGCGTAAATGCGTGTCAGTATTTAATTTTGAAGAAATGAATTAATTTTTTGACATTGATATTATTTGTTAAGCATCACCTTAACACAGAATTATTTTTATAATTTTTGCTTGATTCCTTCCATGAGAAAATGCAATTATAGACCTGGCACGCGTATCAAAGAAGTATTTGGCAATTGCGTCCAGTCTCATTGGTTTTCAAGGTAGATGAAATAAGCAAAGCTGGAAAAGGTCATGTGTGCGTAAATGTGTGTCAGTATTTAATTTTGAAGAAATGAATTTATTTTTTGACATTAATATTATTTGTGAAGCATGACCTCTACGCAGAATTATTTTTATAATTTTTGATTGGTTCCTTCCATGAGAAAATGCAATTATAGACCTGGTACACGTATCAAGGTTGTATTTAGAAATTGCGTTCGGTCTCCTTGGTTTTCAAGGTAAATTAAATGAGCAAAACTGGAAAAGGTCATGCGTGCTTAAAAGCGTGTGAGTATTTATTTTTGATAAATTTTTTGACATTTTTGACATTTATTATATCTATGGAGAATCATCTTTACACAGAATTATTTTTTGTTTCAAATTTAGTTCCTTCTATTAGAAAGGCATGGCTAAGATTGGTTCTTATGTACAACTGTAATGAGATTTTTATGTTTGAATCGCACAAAAAGAGATAATGTCACGTGTGCGTGAATGCATGTCAATGTCTTATTTTAAAAACTGAATTATGATTTTGACATTTTCATTAGCTTTAAACCATTGCCTTTCCACATATTTATTCATTTTAACATGAGAACTTTAAACACGTTCATAACTGAACGGTATTTGAATTGAATTAAAATAAAAAATATCAATTATCTGCGCATTTTCGTTATATTACGTCATACTGGATTTCGCGCTTTAAATGGGCTGAAAGTGGAAATGGCACGTGTGCGAAAACGTTTGTTATCAATTCATCTTTCAAAACACATTTTTATTTTTTACATATCTATGATCTATGATATATAACCTATGTAAAGAATTATTTTCAAATTAATTGCTAGGTTAATTCAGTAAGCAATTCTGAGGTATATTTGAACTTTAATTCCATAGCAGATGTAATTCGGACAAAAGTTTTAAAATTCAAGAAGAGATTAAATCATTCAAAATAAATCTTACAATTCAAACAAGTCGACAATACTTGGTTCAGTTCTTTCATTTTCAATCATACCACGGTCATAGATTAACATACGTGACCGTTCGAAAACATACCATTTTTGTAGAAAATGAAAGAAAATCGCGTTATAACATGTATCGAGTAATTGTCAAGTTCACGTCTTAAGTTTGATGTGGTAAAAATCATTCTTCATAAGTCACACATTTAAGTTAAGGGAAGTCAAGATCATTTAAAAAAAATGAAACATTTGAATTGATATTTTTAACATTGAAATACTTTTAGAAAGTAAGCTTATACTAGTAGATTTGCTAGAACTAGCTGTTTGGAATTCATCAACCTTTCTCCACAGGATCATTTCGTAGTACAAATGCAGGTCATTCAAAGGAAATATAGGTTTCAACATCCCCGTCTATGAATATTGATCTTTTTCAGACAGCAATAAAGGTAAGTTTAAAACAGAAATACTTCTTACGAATCCAAAATACATTTTAAACTTAGAATTGTGATCTACGATCTTATGGGTATGTCACAAATTTGATTAGATACATTCACTCAGCAGGCCGTTAAACATGTAATTAACTTTAGAAGCGTAACTATAGGTATAACTTCGATTTTAGTATGTTCAAGTTCAAGTTCTGTAGTCTCGAGAGTCAAACGATTATCATAGTTTATTTGGCCTGCTTTTAGAATTGGGAAAACAAAGGCAAGGTTTATGTTTTATGAACATTCCGATTTGATAGCAAACTTTATTTTTGAGTGTATTAAATCAAATAAAGCTTATTGCGTCGGGACCTGTACGTTCGCCCAATTAAAGGCAAATGTGCCGTCAATTAAAGAAACATGCACAGTGGTACACCGTTTTTGGAAAACATAACACTGATAATAAAAAGTCATCAATTGTTATGAAATTTGCACCATCATTAAAAAGAATCTGGAATTTCATGATGACAAAATATCGGATAAATATGACAAGAAATAAAAATTTGTTACATTTTTTCCCAAAAAGTTGTAAAATAAAAATAAACTAAAAAAATAATATTTTCACGACAAAAAATAAATAGTTCAACTGTATTGATTATACATGACGTTTTCAAAGAGTAGAGAGCTAGATTCAAAGCACCGTTCCTGCAAGTTTCAAATGAAAATATTAAAAAACGCGCGCGTATGAGAACCGCAACTTTCTATGTCTGCACTGACAAAAACTTGAAATCCCCGCTGTAAAGATATAGTCCCACGCGGATGTGCACGTCATAAAACTGATGGGTTAAGGCAATGTGTCCTCCTACTGTGATGTTCTAGGTACGTCATATACCTTATAAAGTTCCAAAATTCAAAAATATACTTAAGATACGCATTTTCTTGGTGTTATAAAGTGGTTTTTAAAGTTTCTGAGATTTTCAAACTCATATAACTCATATTTTGAAAAATAAAATTTGAAAAATAAATTTGAAAAAATTGTGAAAAAAAATTTCAGGAGCGGGACCGGGATGGATACAGCGTGTATCCATCCCGCTCCGGGCCTTGGCTAGATACAGTATATATTCCCGCTCGTTATGTACCTAGAACCTCAGTAGGTATGAAATACATACCAATATACAATACTATCTTTTTTTCTCTAGAAATAACACCTAAACTCAATCATGACATGGAAGCTAACTTCTGCAATTAATAGAAACTTGTTTTTTATAATATTTTTGTGTTCTATATTTGCGATGAAATAAATATGAGATTCATTTCTACAAGAGGTAATTGGTTTGTTACTGCAAAAAATCTATTTCTTCATCACGTCAAATATATCTTTTGCATGTCAAAACGCCTCATTTCTTGTTAATTTTCAGAATTTTGTTTGTGCCTTCATTAAATATATACATTCAAGTTGTTATTCAGAATATTTTAAGAACTTTTTGTGAGTTTTTTATTTTCACACTTTTGAAAAATGACCAAGTCAGAGAATGGCGTCCTACTGGCATGTCCCCTTTAAACATTATTTTTTCATAAAAAAAGATAAAAAAAAACATACATCCAGATCTCATAAATACCTTCAGAGTTACTGTGTCCCTATATCATGTAATTAGCATGTTTCGCAGCGGACACATTTTTCGATACCAACCCGTGTATACAGAGTTTATTTATTTCGTATACAGAATGGATTCATTTCATATTCAGACTGGATTCATTTCATATTCAGACTGGATTCATTTCATATACAGAGTGGATTTATTTCATATAACCAGTAGGTTTATTTCATATAATAGGCAGAGGGATTCATATCGTATACAAATTGGATTTATTTCATGAACAGTGAGCATTTATTTCAAATACTGAGGAAATTTATTTCAAATACAGAGTGGTTCGATTTCAGATACAGAGTTCATTCATTTCAAATATGGAGTGGATTCAAGTTATTTCAGGTACTGCACGTGCATTCTTTCTAAAGAGGACAGTACGGACAGCATTCGTCAGGGTCAGTGATTGGATCGTCACATCCCAGCATGTCTAATGGTGGGCAATCGATTACTGCACACGCCACTCTAGTACCAGAAGGCTCAAAAGGATCATTGATACACGTGCATATATCGCAAATCCCATCTCCCTTCACGTTTTCACCAACAGGATACATGATACCATCTTTCAAGCAGTCTGAGAAACAAAAGATAAACGATCTAAGGAGTCTACTATTTATATTCAAGATTAAACAGATTTTAAATCTTAGACGAGTACGATTAATATGTGGCTAACATTTTCGGCCCGTTTGGATAAGATAGAGAAACCTCTAAAACTTATAAACGGTTAACTTACGAGCACAATACATCCTCGTGCAACTAACAATCCCATTCGAACAACTACACGTGTTACAACCGTCTCCCCGATTGAAGCTTTCTCCGTTTTTGTAGGTTTTCCCATTATGTTTACAACCGACACACATCATACGTGTACATGCAACCAGACCGTTTGCACAGACACATTTATTACAACCATCAGTAGCGGGAACTCCATCCCCGTCATTGTACGTTTTGTCACCATGTTCACATTGTTTTAACGGACAACATGTGGCAAAATCTTCGCCGGCAGATTTGTCACATTTGTAGTCATCCGAGCAGTCATTACTAATGTTACAGAATACAACATTTCCAGTTCCATCTTTTTCTGGGTCTGTGCATGGTAAGGCGGGATCAACTGAAAAGATGGGAACGCAAAGGTATAACGTGGTATGGCAAAATCAATCTTAGTCTCGCTTCAAGACTGTGAACTTCCCCCTATCTAATTGTTCAACACAACCTGGAGTAAAGGAGATAGGGGGGGGGGGGGTCAAGGGTCTTGAAGCAACACTGAATCAATCTTTTTTCGATCAATATCACTCAATTTAATATAGTAAACATGGCACCCCATATAGTTTATCCTGAGTGAAAATATATGTACCATATACACCTCAGACACCTATAGTGTACACTTTCCCATTACACGCATGTCCCAGACTAAACATACCTTAACACTTTCAGCACACAGGGAGTACAGACTTCAGTCACGCATGCTACACTTACCTAGCTATCTCCCACTGGACTTACCTATACAGGTAGCAACAAGAGGGCAAGGTTCTTTGTCGCATTCACTCTTTTGAACTTCACAAACATTTCCCGTTGGACAAGTCTTTTCCTGAAAGAATTAGAATAAACAACAAGATTAGTGAAAACATGCAAAATACCTTGGTGAATCAAAACTACATTTCTCTACATGTACATATTTTTATAAATTATTTAATGACGTCGTACCCCTCACTGTTAAGAAACGTTTTATTCATGTTAATGTGAATGCAGATCAAACCCAGCCATCATTGCCCCGGCTCCTGACCTGTCGTCAATTATTGTTTTATATGGCTGGTCATCTGGAGCAATGTATCGTCATACTTTTAACGCCGTAACATCTACTTTTAACTCCGTTTTTATGCGAATTTTATAAGAATTACTTTTAACGCCGTCAAAAAAAATTTGTATGCCGTTAAAAATCATTTTGGACCGCCATTTACGCCATTGAAAATGACTGACGCCGTAAGAACAATGTTGTACTGCGTCAGAAATGATTTTGAACGTAAAAACTCATTTTGCACAGCGGTATATCCAGAACTTGCACTCAAAAAGACCATGCATATATATGTATGTCAAAAAAGAAAAAAAAAGAATTCCATTTACAAGACAAACTTGTGTGTCAAATAAAAAAAAGAATTAACCCTAACCCTAACCTAACCGCTGAGGACACAAGACGCGTACCAGACCCTAATAATACAGGGTCCACTTGGCAGGAGCGGTGTTCGCGTACCAGACCCTTATGATACAATGTCCACTTGGCAGGAGCGGCGATCGCGTACCAGACCCTAATGATACAGGGTCCATTTGACAGGAGCGGCGTTCGCGTACCAGACCCTAACGATACAGGGCCCACTTGGCCTGTCGGCAGGAGAGGCGTTAAAAGTATGACGATACATTGGTCTAGATGGCCAGCCACAGGTTTATGGAATTCGGCAATAGTTGCGGTTGGACACAACCGTTATCCGTCTCACAACTTGAGACCGGATAGTGTATGAGTAGTAATTTTAAGCATTTATGTAAGTTATTTTTTTCAATATGTAATGTCTTCAGATTGAATTACACGGCCGATGATTATTGGTTTTAAACCGTGGTATTAATTCCTGGATGGGGAGTGTGTCCTTGTGCGTTAGATCATGCTATTCTATATGACAGGGCCTGTGAGCATGGGGTTTCTTTTTTCTGGATTTAGTAATGCTCTTAGTTTTTCCCTCTTTTGGCATCTAATGGCACTGCATGATTAAGGCGATTGTTTTTTTTTACCTTACATGGACTCTCTTTACATGAACAGATTGGGCAACCGTTGTCATTCATTTTGAAACCATACGTACAGAACATCATACACATTACAGGACTGCATTCTAAAAGTAAATATTAATTTATTTATTCATACACTCGCTTTAACATTTCAGTTCAGATGAAGTTACACATACATGTACTTTAACAAACTGCCTGGTAATCTTCGACTTTAAAAATTCTACTTCCCCTTATGTTAAGATCGATTTACGGTCGTGATCATCCTACACGAATTACACCTACTTTGACAAACAGCCTTCCTGTCTTTGACCAAACAAAAAGGTTTGTCATCGAGGCAAGGATTTGGCTGAAATAAATACACATGACATGACATTCATAATCCCTTGAATCGATCATTTTCATTGTAATAGTTAACTTTATCACTGTTCCAAAACTAGTCACTTTGATGGAACGTCAATGTAACAAAATGGATGAACTTCCTGGTAACGAGTTTTTTATTTTCTGGATTAAACCACTGATAAGTTAAGTTGCAGATTATAATTTGGCACAAAGCTAGAAAATATAGTCTAGTTTTATTAAGTTTCTTCGATTTGGAATCTGTTTTGTAAATTAAGTTGCAATTCATATATTTAGCCCCTCGCTTTTGTGACGAAAGTCCGTTATATTACCAATGTATGTTACTTTGAAAAACGATCGATTGAGCAAACGATCAAACGATCAAAAGAATTCGACGCTATTCCAGTGTTTGATGATACCCTGACACTCGGAATAACTGTATCATCCTTGCTAAATCGTGGTCAAGAATGCATAACAGAAAACAAAACATTAGACGTAAATGTAAACATGTATAGTCAAGAAGAGATTAAAACTGAAAACATGACCCGACTTAAAGTGCCACGCCCATTTTTATAATCATCATGCCACCAATCATCTGTTCAAAAATATTTGTTTTCAATAAAATTGCAATTCATTTCAATTCCTCTGTTGATGGAATGGTTAAATAGGCAACTTTATCATTAAAGAAGCTTCGCAAGTAGGCCAAATCATCAAATCCGATTCTGTCACCTTTCAATTGGTATATTGACATGGCATGATGAATGATATCGATAATTAAGCTAGTAACCATACATCTTAGTTCACTTTTGGAATACATTTTTAAACTTCTCAGAGTCACCTTACCATGCATGGGTTATCTTTACATTTACATATCTCACAACCATTTTCATCCGTCTGGAAGCCATATTGACAGAACATCATACATTGTACAGGACTGCATTCTAAAATTCAATGAGTGAACTCTTGAATATCTAAGTAAAACTGACATTGTAATGTCATCAATGGGAATCGAACTCACAATCTCCAGTACGTCAGAGTTGTCTGACGTGTCGCAAAAAGGTGGCGCATTTGTTTTTTAAGGGTATCGCGTGGATGTAACTTTGATTCCCTGGATTATAAGATAATATTCTAATTGAAGTTATGGTATGAGGTTCCATATCCATCCGCCAAAAGGTATGACCCCTATATAGTCCATTTAAAAACTTGTGGTTTTGTTCTAAATAGCGCCATAGTTGGCTTCTAGGGTACCTAGTATGCCACGATTTGGTATCAAAATAAAGAGGAGGAGTTCAACTTTCATTTGAATTACGAAAATAGCGATGTAGGTCAAAAATAGTTCCGACGTGAGCATGTTTAATACGCGTTTGCCCATCATATCAGAATTGAGGAAGTGGTAGCAAACGCGAGTCACAATAAATGGACGCTGATATCTCAAAAAGTAACCTGACTCCCTATAATTTGATGTAGATCAATCGAACCCCTATATGAACAGGTACATTTTGATATATAACACTATGGGGGGTAAGCGTTTTATAGTTGGTCACGAACGCCATATGTGCAAAGTATTGTTATGAATTTTCGAATTTGGTGTTGGATTACGGTACTCATACCTTAATATGAGGCCTAAAATTGTCTGCTAGTTGGCCAGAGACCAATATTCTAGCAGATTTTGAGAACAGAATCGATTTTTTCGTTCTGCGTAGGGCAAACAATGATTTGAAATCACTTTCAACCATTCTGTGAGTATAAGAATGGTCATAAGAGGCCCGTGGAGGGTCTGGAATGAAAGAAAGCCCTCTGAAATTCCGTCAAAATTGCAGGTTATTTCTTCATTTTTTGCTAAAATGACATGATTTTCAGGGCCCATATCTCAGTGAAATTGCTACAATGTAGCGATTTTTCATTTTTACAGGCTAGATACACGTGTCAGGTCGACAGAAACAGTAAGCATGTGTGATTTTCAAATTGCTACATTGTAGCAATATTTATTTCAAAATACAGGTGTGAGGGAAACTGCAATTTAGTTAGATTTGGGCGAAAATGGCCAAATTTCAGTCAAAATCCTCGGGGCACAGGCCCTTTGTCTTAGATTTAGTCAATGATGCAACTCTTAGTAGAAGGTGTGCCATATAGGGAATGAAAGCTGTTTGTCAGACGTATCATTTTCTTCAATAAACTCAGAGATAGTCAGGTTAGATTTGTGACGTCACAGTGGCAAAGTTAGACCAGCATATTTAGACGTATTTGGGGTAGGGCAAATTAACCCTTTCTAGCCTAAATGGATAAATTTTTCACATATTCAGCCAGTTCCGACGTTTTTATGCATTTTTGAACTAGAAATGATATTTTCTGCCAAAAAAAGTTGCAGAGACAAAAATCAGTGTGATGTCATAACACATTAAGGTATGAGGTTCCATATCCATCCGCCAAAAGGTATGACCCCTATATAGTCCATTTAAAAACTTGTGGTTTTGTTCTAAATAGCGCCATAGTTGGCTTCTAGGGTACCTAGTATGCCACGATTTGGTATCAAAATAAAGAGGAGGAGTTCAACTTTCATTTGAATTACGAAAATAGCGATGTAGGTCAAAAATAGTTCCGACGTGAGCATGTTTAATACGCGTTTGCCCATCATATCAGAATTGAGGAAGTGGTAGCAAACGCGAGTCACAATAAATGGACGCTGATATCTCAAAAAGTAACCTGACTCCCTATAATTTGATGTAGATCAATCGAACCCCTATATGAACAGGTACATTTTGATATATAACACTATGGGGGGTAAGCGTTTTATAGTTGGTCACGAACGCCATATGTGCAAAGTATTGTTATGAATTTTCGAATTTGGTGTTGGATTACGGTACTCATACCTTATATATCATTTTAAAGCTGTTTCGATGAAGATTTTAGATCAACTACACTCCGTTCACATTTTTTGCGCGTTCGTTTTTAAAAAAGAGTTTTTTACCAAAACATCTGGCAAATATCCCATGTTGACACGTTACATTTTGAATTATTTTTCGTCTTTAAACGCTCATAACTCAAACAATATATGACTATTATACTTATTTTTCGTCTTGATAAAGGTAGATGGAAGTTTTATTTCAAAGGATGAATTTTAGTAAGCGTCCCATATTGTGACGTCATAGAGTCTGAAAAATAGAATCTGTTGACAGCGACCTTTTTTGTTCATTTTTTGGTACCTTCAACTTTTCAGGTGTACATAAAACAAAAAATACGAGATCAATTTTTAATAAATCATACATGATTATTTTGCTCCTAAACTCTAGTTTATTAATAAATAGTTGATTTTGTTCACAAAAGTATGTGTTTTCTGTTGTATGTTCTGTTCAAAATTCATTAAAATAGGGCTAATTTACGCCATTCGCCTATTTTCAAGCACAGCAACACGTATATTTATTTCACCTAAAATATCAATTGATTCGTGTTTTATGATGCTCCTAACCCATTGTTAATACATATACAATATCAGATTTATTCGCCTTAAATATTTTGAGATATAGAGGCAAATGTGGAGGACGAAAGGATTTCCATAAGTGCTCATTTTTCTCAAAAACGTCACATTCTATCATGTTAAAAGCGAGGATCCTCTGGATTACGCCACAAAATGTGTAACAATGCGTGCTCGAGCTTTTTGCGACACGTCTCTGCGATTTGAACTGCAGAGCAAAACCGACCATAACACGGTGGTGTTTACACCATTCTGTCGGTTTATTTACGACATCGAAATCAGACCATCTTATTGAAATGGTGACCTTGTCCTACGGACATTGAGATTATGTTTCACAGCAATTTCGGATATATTTCCATACAAATTACAATCAATTCCCTAGCGACTGGGCGCTCGAGGCGCCCAACTGACTGTGAAACATTGTCTCCATTTCCGTAGGGTAAGGTCTCCATCTTTACTGAAAAGATCTGTTATATTTCGTATACAAATCTTGTGTCACGGAAAGATATTATGAATGGGGTGTCGTGGAACTAACCGACAGAGGCCGTCAACTCGACTTGGGTCACCTGCGAATAGCAGCTACAATTTCAATGATCTTGAATAGAATGCGACTACTGTAGACAATGAGAGGGATTTAACAAGTGAGGGGATACATTTTGAAAACTCTTTTCTAACCCCTCCACCATCAATTCCAAATATTCATAATGATAACGTGATCATCCTACAAGAATTACACCTACTTTGACAAACAGCCTTCCTGTCTTTGACCAAACAAAAAGGTTTGTCATCGGGGCAAGGATTTGGCTGAAATGAATACATGACATTCATAATCCCTTGAATCGATCATTTTCATTGTAATTGTGAATATTAATTCACATTGTCATTTTAGTTTTCATTTTATAAGGGAAGAGTACTGTACCCTTTAAATTCGTTCGACTTCGCTTCTCAAAAGAGAGCTTCGTCTCCAACCGTGTCGTTTATAACTAGATTCTGAGGGCAGGGTAAAACAAAAAACACCAACGTCAACTTGCGTGACGTTCCCATTGATTGGTATGTACGGTAGGGCGTTCGTATAGAAAAGTATACTTTCGGGAAGATAACAAAGTTGCACTTCGGTTCGCATGTTTACATTCCCAATCTCTAGAATTGACAATTTGACCTATTCGCAAGGCTGCTATTACATTGTGTAGTGGATTTGTTGACATATAAGGAAGTCTTTACGGGCTTTACGTGATGGCCCAACCCCTAAATTACCCCCAGCCCCGATGAATGGTCACACAGAGACATGGAACATTTAATCTAACGCTGTATGGGAATTCAGTTTTTACCTCTGCACACGGATGTTCTCTACAGGAACAAATTGGACAATCGGTAGTCTCGTTAATCTTGAATCCAAATTGGCAGTACATGGCACATATCGGGGGACAATCTGTTAAAACAAAATTATTTTCAATTTATATCATCTTACTTTCATGTCACATATAGGATATAGGTCAATGTTTTAATTTGCATGCCAAAACGATTATTGTATATCACATATGGGCAAATTTACGATAATTGATATTTTTCTAAATCCATGAATTCTGCTATTCTACCACATCCTGCGCCATGTGTATTGATATCAACGATATTATATGTGTGCTGTCGTGATGTGAACACAACTGTTTACCATGACCATGCGATATATATTGAAAATGTTACTTATTAGTTCTTAAAAACAGCTTAATGGTGATTTTTTGACAAAAAATCAGATTTTGCTATGGAAATTAAACTAGGACAACATAACAAAATATGCAGTCCGTCGATAATTTCTAACTGGTTAATAAAATATGTTCCCGACCATCTCTCAGAACTGGTTGTTTGATATGTATTACTCATTAAAAAGTTAAAAGATAACACGTTTTATAATGTCCATATGTTTTGTATCCTCCAACACATGCTCAACATATTCAATTTACTAAAAAATTCGATAAGATTGAGATTTTATATAACAATATCATTTAAATACTTAATAGAATTAGTCTCATTTCTGAAAATAATTTTTTGAAATCATTTGTGTGCATTGATGAAATCTTCATGTTTGGAGGATACAAAATATCGGACAGCAAAACCTAAATTCCCAACAAAATCTGGCGAAATCTTTAACAAATGATGCACCAGCAATGGTAATTTAAGTGTGTTGGAGAATACAAAATATTAGACAGATGGTATATGCATAGAAAAAGTATTTCATTGCATGGGTAACACACATCTAACATCGCCCTTTTAAACTATCAACGCAATCTATGTTCTGTACTGTGTATGGGCTGTAATCCGGTTTTGTATCAACGCAAACAAAACAAAACTTTGTTTTTGACAAAAAATCATAATTTAAGCTGTTTTTGAGAAATAATAAGCAATATTTTCAGCATACATCGCATGACTATGATAACCAAATGTGATGACTTTAGAATAACAATCATCAAATGTCGCTGGTATCACCACACACGACGCAGGCTTTAGTAGAACAACTGATTTTGAAATATCAATTATCGTAAATTTGCCCATATATAGAGGACATAATATATCTGAGCTAACTTACGTTGGCGAATGCAAACTGCCTTGCCCTGTCGTACATCACACACTGGCTTATCGCTGTCCTCTGGGCAGGGGTTTGGGTCAACCTGAGAACGACGTTAACAATTGGTCATTTTCGACTTTACAACGGTAATTGAGATATCATGAAGTTTAAAATAGGGTTCACGCGTCTTTTAATTTTGTAATGTTGAGAATTGCTTCGTCTTTCTGGTTGTCTAGATCCAAAATTTTAGATATAATAGTTGTATTCCCAAAGTTGTAGTATTAATGTGATTGGAAATAAAAGTTTTATTGGGCTGGAAGCTAACACCAAATAGGCACAAATTAAAGAGTTGTTAAAGAGACTTCTCCGTGGCATTTTTTCTTTATTCCTTATTGTTTTGAATTTTTTACACCATAACATTAACTAACTACTCAATATGCAACTTTTCACCACGTAGAATTTTAAAATATTAAGTTTGAAAATTCCATTTTTATAATGGAGCTCAATGGGAAAAATGACATAATTTGGATTATTTTCAAACGTAGCGGCGCGATTTTCTTGAAATTGACAGATATAATAAATATTGGTTAGACGAAATGTTTGAAGAAAAATGAAGAAAATTCACCGTCCTGGTTACGCAAAATATAGAAAAACGTGAAATAATCATAAAAACCTGTAAAAATAGATTGAAGGGGGTGATATTCATTTTAATGTGCCTTTCACTACTACAGGGTAACCATAGTTTTGGTAATGGTTTACTAATTCTAAAAGCATATCTTCCAGCATGTGTATCAAGCGGAAGTAATACAATAAGTGAGTTATCATTAATTGGAATGGTATTATTATATTCCTTAGCAATGATGACAAAAAGGTAAAATAAATCATATCACATACTAGTTCTTACCATCAAATCGATCTGTTATAATGCATATTAAACAATATAGCAGTAGATCTTCAAATTCAAGAATTCAGCTAAATTGTAAGAATCATACTAAATTATAATATTTCGGTATGCTTATTTTAGCTGCTGTAGTTTAGGTCACTTGATGAGATATTCAGTAACATGCTGTCACGAGAGACAAAACTTGACACTAAATAATCACTCGAAATAAACGATATGAATTCTTCATATTTTCTTCTTTTGTAATACATCCATTCTTGAAAATTAGCATTCAAAGCTTTTCAATGCAATCATGAATTTAGTGATCTGACCCTTAAAAAACTTTTCAGGGGGAATAGTTTGTCCACCTGTAGCCCTTAGGTGTATCATCTTTTTCTTGCCATATTTTCCTAGGCTTGCTGGAATACCTATTTAAGTGTGCACGTTTAGCATTGTTTTCCCATTGATTATTTGAGTTCTCATGTCAATAAATGGAAATAAAAATGATAGAGTAGTTTATTTTATTGTAAAAATCAAAAATAAAACAAGGTTTGGTCAGGAAGGGAACAGGTAAAATCCTTGGGATATATGAATTAATTAATTATAAGTTAGAAACATATTCATGTTTCTACAATTTAGGGTGACCCTGTGTATTATTCTACTGTGCATGGTCATACCTGTGCAAAATATTACAAAATGTTATTTACTTATTATCATAATTCAATGTGACAATATCAGTCTTATCTTCAAATTTGTATATAATAGTTTGCCTGTAAAGTTGGGCAAGCCGTCTATTACGTTGATAGTATAAGATGTTGATTTTGCAAAGCTCTTATGGGCTAATTCTACAATATGTACAGTAACATATATGTAAGGGTGCAAGTATGTAGTCCAGTGTGTAGTAAACAAAGGGGTATTTTGGTCAACTCAATACATCTGATAAACACTTCATGAAGTGTTTTCTATGCAATGATTATATACAGGCTGCTTATTCATTGTTACTGCGAATTTCAAAAGCTTCCAAATTGTGTGGAATAGAGCATGCAATGTTTTTTAGTTTCAAGCAGGTTTTAGTACATTCTGACCAATTGTATTTTCAGACTTATTCATTTCATGATTATGTAATACTGACCTACATATCTGCTTAACATGTCTTTAACCACCACAACAACAATACTTTCATAAAGTGAAAAAGCAAAAAGGATACTTTAACTTGTTCGTGAAAGATCACTTGTTACTCGTAAAAACCTTAATGAATTTGAAATGAAATCATTACATTGTGTTAATATTACATATATCTCATGAATTTCAATTACAGGGACAACGTACATTCGAGTTGACAACGCACATTCCTGATTATTTTAAATTACAATAAATACTTGAATATTTATTAATCTCCACCCGTCCTAAATTGTGTAGTATAGAGAAACATATTCTCATAAAAATAATCGACACTCTTAGGCAACAGGGAAAAAATGATCAAAGGAAATGTGAAAAACCCAACATTTTCCAACCAATCAATTTTCGTTAGTAGATTGACTACGAAAAAATCTAGCACTGTTCGAAAATCTTTAAACGTTATTAGAAAGTTAAATGTCTTCCTAAACGAATACATGTACGAAATTAAACATGAAATCTTTCAAGTATACCCAAGATTAATTTTTTAAAACCTACACCACCCCTGCATCATTGTCTTTGCTTCAAATCGGTTAAATAGTGACATCGTACATCTAAAGTGTACAACGGTATATTTTGTCACTGTGCCTTGTCGATGGTTAGGCGTGATTTTTGTCTCAGCAAACTTAAGGATTGGTCTAAACGGTATTCGATTGGACCATTTGACCAATCGATGGGGAAAATGTCTTACATCACATGGGCTCTTGTTGCATTTGCAAATGTCGCATCCTGTAGTGTCATTTTTCACGAATCCAAAGTCGCAATACATTCTACACGTCACTGGACTGCACACTGATGCCACCCCCATAGCCATAGTTCTAGGTGCTGGATCTGGATTCAAAAATGAATGTTATAAGACCCACAACCTGAACCTGCCTTCTACCTACGATCTACAAATAGACGCCATGCACATGCTGCTCCCACAGGACACAATTCTAGATAACGTTGCTTAATTTTTGCATCACATGGCAGGAATATCAAATAAATGTTAGACATCATAGAAGAACTACCTAGTTGTGAGGACTTTCCTTGAAGACGCATTGGGAGACGTGAGCTGTATGTACCACGTAGGGTACTGCCATTTAAATCTTTGAACAAATGTAACGGAAGGTTTTCAAATATGATATACTGATTTTCCTTGACACATTCCCGATTCCTATTTTTCCACCTTTCTCTTATAAGCCTAGATTCGTTCTTGGAGAATACTTTGTAATCTTAAATTGCATTATCCTGAAAACTATTTGTTCAATTATCATCAAGGTAGTCCACTTCTTTTTTGATACCTAAAGTCCCACGGTCGCAGGTCGACTTTGCAGGCGCAGGTCGATGGCTTTTCATAACATCGATTCAACAATATACATATCTAGGCAGATCGCTAAATTCTAGATTTCTCGTAATGTTTGAGCTCGACATTTCAATCGTATTTCGATATTTAATTTCAATCAAATTGGTTGCAGGCATAATCACATCTTCTTCAAATTGGAAGCGGTCTAGAGGGTGAGGTAGAAACAAGAAGTCGTTTTAATAATGATATTAAAGTAGACGTTGCAACATTTTACTTGTTACTTTGAATTAAAACAAATACGTACCTGGGTTACAAACAGGGCAGCATTTGTTTGCAGGCGTGTGTGAACCATGGACACAACTGAGCAAGGGACACGGTACTTTCGAACAGTCTAAAACAGTTGGACTATACTTGTGTACGAATATCTTTATTAAAATATATTTCGCCAGGGGTTCTGGGCCAACCGATAGATGTATTCCTTGCAGGTATGTATGTAAATACCACAGGTTTTTGTAAAATTCTCTTGAATCTGACAACCATATTAGGGGGCTCATATTTTCAAGCTCCCTACACTGGCGGATCCAGAAGTTAACAAGGGGGGGGGGGCACATTTCAAATCGATCACCGATATCGCGAAATGGATTCAACATTGTTTTTCTCTTAAACCAATTATTGAAAACATTTGAGTAAAAATAGTAAAAATCAATGTCAACTAAAATGGCTGAAAATTAAAAATGGCAGCCATTTTGAAAATAGGCGAGCTTTTGTCAAAGAGGGTTTTCTGACGTTGAACAGAGATAACTTAAACAGGAATCCTATCGACGGTTTTAAAATGTACCACTAAATGTGGACTGACTGAGCGGTGAACAAATCAATGCTAACTAAAATGACTGAAAATAAAAAGAGAATGGATTTAATTTTTTGCCGATTTTTTGTACAAAATTATTTCATACAACTACTCTTTACATTAACATGTTTTTTTCACAATGCAGGACAACTGGAATTATTTATAAAGCTACCAATGGTCCAAAAGTGAATTTTAGGCGACGAAAATGGCAGCCATTTTGAGAATAGGCAAGCTTTTGAACCAGCAGTAGATGGGTTTTCTGTATCGATGTTGAACAAAAAGTTTTTAAACGTGTCACAATTGTGGACTGACTGAGAGACAGATGGACAAATCAATGTTAACTAAAATGGCTGAAAATATGTTGGCGATTTTATGCAACAAAATTATTTCATACAACTACTCTTTACATTGGATTTTTACAATGCAGGGAACCTGCAATTATTCATAGAGCTACCAAATGGTCCAAAAGAAATTTTGCCAAAATTTTTTGACAAAAATGACGGCCATTTTGAAAATAGGCGAGCTTTTGAACCAGGAGTCATACTCTCCCCTCCATAAGGCTGGCAACCTTAGCTCCCCTATGGAATTACGTATTAAAGCCTCTCTCTGTTGATGCAGAGATGGAGGGTTGTAATGGGAGTCCTTGTGCAAAATATAGGGGAGAATAATAAAGGAACTGGCGATATATGGAGGCTAAAGATTTGCATCTTCTCTCCTCTGGGGACCAAAACGCCGCTAAAACGAGTGACTCTGTACACAAAAGTAATGTCTCGACTGAAAGGTATTTCTGTGAAGGTTTTAATGGAACGAGTTTGAAGAAAAACGGTATACTATGAGACTCACAATCATTGGTTTGAAATTCAAATTAACGGCTTTGCGGGGCGTTTTGGTTTCGATACGCCCTGGTGACTAAAGCTATGTTCACACCAACGGCGAATGCCACGCTTTAAATCGGCGAGCAAAGCGCCGTCATTTTTATCATTTTTGTTCATACCAACGGCGCTTTGATGGCGCTTTAAAGCGGCTTGTAAAGCGGCACCAAAGCGTAACAAAGCTTGATTAAAGCGTCGGGGTCGTAATAGGTCGTAGAAAAGCTCGGAGTAAAGCGGGATATTCGGCAAGAGCGCCAAAAAATTTTAAACTGTTTAAAAATTTTGGGCGCTCTGTTACGAATTGATTAAAGCGCCGAGAGCGTATCAAAGCTTAACAAACCGTAACAATGCTCAGAAAAGCTTGATCCAAAGGGTAGGAAAGCTTAACATAGCTCTGATAGGTTCCTCACGCTTTGATCCCGCTTTGACCAGGCTTTGTTACGCTTGAAATCACGCTTTGATAAGCATTATTACGCTTTGATTCGATAATGACGCTTTAAATCAGGCTCTGATACGAATACCAAGCTCTGTTGTGCATTGTTACGCTCTGTTAAGCTCTGTCACGCATTGGAAAATGTCGAGATTGCCAATTTCATGCCACTTTTGATCCAATAACTATATAAAGATGCAGTAGATCCATAAAACCATTGCATCTTTGACTCGAGAACACGATGGCAGAACAACAAGATCCAGAAATTCCAGATGGACCAGAGCATGACCTATCTGAAGAAGACATGGTGTTTGTCGCACGGCGTGATATAGCGTGTGGAAACTTGTCAAGCGTAACTAAGCCTAGCAAAGCGTTTCAATCCTTGATTAAAGCGTCTCAATTCGTTGGAAAGCTTGAGAGTCCTTCATGAAAATGTATCAAAGAGTGTCAGATATTGATGAAAGCGTCTGACCTCGTGTCAGATCTTTATGCCAGATCGTAGCAAATCTTGAGAGATCTTAACGAAGCGTATCAAGTGGTAACAGACAGTGAAGAGACTAGGGTCCCCGCTTTGAACTAAGCTCTGTAAAGCTTTCCTACGCTTTGGGTCAAGCTTTGCTGAGCTTTGTTACGGTTTGTTAAGCTTTGATACGCTCTCGGCGCTTTTATCAATTCGTAACTGAGCGCCCAAAATTTTTAAACAGTTTAAAATTTTTTGGCGCTCTTGCCGATTATCCCGCTTTACTCCGAGCCTTTCTACGACCTATTACGACCCCGACGCTTTAATCAAGCTTTGTTACGCTTTGGTGCCGCTTTACAAGCCGCTTTAAAGCGCCATCAAAGCGCCGTTGGTGCGAACGTAGCTTGAACAGTTTTAATTTTTTGCGCTCTTGCCGAATATCCCACTTTACTCCGAGCCTTTCTACGACCTATTACGACCCCGACGCTTTAATCAAGCTTTGTTACGCTTTGGTGCCGCTTTACAAGCCGCTTTAAAGCGCCATCAAAGCGCCATTGGTGTGAGCGTAGCTTTAGTACCGCGTGACTATACACAATTTATTACTTTATTGCCAGGCCTAAGGTCTATCTTACCCTACTATCACACCAAACTAGTTCTCACTACGTTCTAAGAAAACGGGCTTCAACTGTGTACGAACGGACCGGACCTACTAAGAACCGTTTGGGATCTATTTACAAACTTCATCGAACGTACTCGAACGGGTAGGTCCTCTAGAACTTAGACAATGCTCAAAATGTTCTCGTGGTCGTCACGTTCTACAATTAGAACGAGTGACAACGTACTAACGATGAGCTGGACGTACTACGAACGGAACCGTCGTACTTCAATCCTACTAGGTACGTTTTAACAACGAGTTGAACCAAGGGCGTTACAATACCCGGGAATTTATCGGTTCGTGCAGTACTTGTTTGTGATAGCGCCCTCTCTAGGTCACTGTGCTTATAGCCTACAGTAATACGGGGTAGGATATCGGGAATTCGGTCAGTTTCTATCCGTCGATTTCGCTATGAATTGAAGCAAGTGTGACCACTTTATCCACTTAAACAATTTGATAATTGATTAAATCTTTAAACAAAATCGATAAACACGTTATACACTTCCTATCTCCTTAGAAATTAGCATGTATTTATGGATTGTGTTTTCGAACAAGGCTCGACCCATACCAATAGGGAAATCCTTATGCTAATTAGTATGACGTCATATTTTCCTGGGGAATCCTAGATTTCAAAGCCTCAGTCTGTTATTGTGTCAAATGTAAACGCTCTTTTGCAGACAGAAAATTGACAGATTAGCTTTTAACTTTCAGCTTTGATGTTTAAATATTCTGTATTTCTACCGGACTTCTTGCTGAATATCATATAATGTTATAACTTGATTTGGACAATTGCCTGATTGATCATTCTGAAATTTTGATTGTGATTCATGATTGATTGGCAAGAAAAATAATTCCTATTGTTTTCCAGCGAAGTCAAAATGTTACAGCATGAGTTATAATGTCGAGTTTGCATCATGTTAAATTCTGCTAGTGATTAGAAGTCCATGCACAAGCATACACATAAGAGACAAACACACCCAGGCTCCAGGCCGTGGATGGAAATATAAAACTATTTAAGGCACAAACTGGTATTAATAGACCGATATGTAGTGTCTGCCATGTATTGAAGGTAAACCAATCTGCATTATTAATGTTTCTTCTATCAATACATGGATTGTGCAATAGAAAAGCAATGGCACAATCAAAAATGTGCATATCAATCGTGAATATCTCTCGGTTCAAAGCTTATTTCCAACAGAATCGTGTCAAAATATGTGTCTGAGTAACAGTTATACATTATAAGATCGCAAACTCTTACCAATTATCAGCCGAATGGCTCATTTTCAACGAAATGTCCTTAAGACAACAGCCCTGGGTCGCGCCTGAGACCAAAAACTACTTCAAATAGCCCTCCCCTAATTATATTGGATAATCACATTTATGCGTGCGCGCGCAGCTCATCCACTGAACGAAACGCCACTTCCCGCTGAAATCACCGGGTATTGATATATTGGATAATCACATTTATGCGTGCGCGCGCAGCTCATCCACTGAACGAAACGCCACTTCCCGCTGAAATCACCGGGTATTGATCTTTCCCTTGGTTGAACTGTCTGAGGACGTGTTGAGAACGAGGTAGAACTAATTGCAAACGGGTTTAAACTGATTAAGAACGTGTTTAACACTGCTTATTAACGAGTTAGCAAAAATATAGCTATCACACCAAACAAGTTGCCACTGCGTTCTTCAAAACTGGTTTTAAACTATGTGCGAACGGAATGAACGTATAGCTGCAACTTTCTAAGGTCTATTTACGAACTTTATGAACGTTCTCAGACGGGAATGTGATTTTAGTATTTTGAATCGATTCAAAATTCGATGGCGACCATACCGTTCTGTAATCAGGTCATGTTGACCTTCTAGACTAAGGGACGCGTTCTACGACGTTGCACACCGACGTGGTGCGACCTGAACGAACTGCGAACGAGATGGACGTATTGGAGACTGTTTAAGAACGAAGAAGCTAATTATTTCAGACATATTCCCCGACCACAGCCTGATTGAGCCCGTTTTACGACGTTTTTGTAGGACTGGCAAGAACGGGTAAGAACTAGTTTGGTGTGATAGGGGGGTTAGATCGAATAAATATAATATCATGGTTTACCTTTCCACTCGCACATCTCTCCACAGGTTCTCATGGTACACGTTATTTCGTCATTTTTGTTGCATCTACATTTGTTGCAATCCTTGTTAAATTTTTCTCCCTGATGATATATTTTCCCCTCGTATTCACAGCTTCAAAATATAAAGTTTTTCATTAGCACTGTTCCACAGCTGGATGACTCTAACCGCAGTTAGCTTCATTCAAGATGGTTGTCAAAATTCTTTCGTTTTCGATAAACCTCCGATTTCAGCCAAACTAAGTTGAATCTTGATTCCAAAAGTTTCGCAAATTAATAAAGCTACGATTGTATTCAACTAAAATGAATGCCCAAACACCCTCAATATTAGTGTATTTTAAAGAAAACGCGGCTTCACTTAGAATGACTCTAACTGAAGTTGATGATCTACGTCATCATTACGTCATCATCAACTTCAGTGTCATTCTAAGTGAAACAATTTTCATTAAAGTTCTCTGATATCGCAGTTGTGTGAGCCTTTATTTGTGGTTATTTACCATCGCAGCTTTATCAATTTGCATGGCGAAACATTTGGAATTCAGATTCAACTTAGTTAAGCTGAAATCGGAGGTTTATCGAAAACGAAATAATTTCGGCAACCATCTTGAATGAAGCTGCAGTTAGATTCATCCAGCTGTGGAACGGTGATTAGCCATCAACTTTTTTGCTGCATTTCAGCCAATGATGGTTAACACATTTGAAACTAGTTGTAATAAAATATGATAAACAATGTGACCAAATATGAAGAGAAAATATTGAAGGGTATCTCAAACTACATTCATTTGAACTCTGTAAACCGAAATCATAAATGGTATCTTTTACCATAGAATTATCAAACAAATATGATTTTGTCAATTTACAATAACTCCTTGCAATAACTTCGTATAGATACAAAATGGACCCAAATTGAAAATATTTTGATGTGTTTGGTATACATTCCTACAGACCTTTCGAAAGGTTTCATTTTCTTTTAGTTTTTCACCAAATTTTTTTTAAAATGTATTATCAATAAAAGTTTCATAAAAATATATAAAATGTGATTTATTATTTTTCCATGGATCATCTTTTTGATATTTAGATTATCTTTCAATCATTCAAAAGCATGTGATATACAACGCTTAAATACTGGCCAGGGATTGGGTTTTATATTGATCAATTTATTTCCCCCGATCAGTCTCAGGGAACTCAAAATCCTCAAAATCCAACTTGACCCATCGAGTTCCATTTGCCCCATCGAATATCAACTTGGCCGATCGAATCCCACCGAGTCCCATGGGACCTCGATGACCTTTAATGACAAATTAATTCTCCCCCAATAAAACATGATATGAAATGAGAATGATGTAAGCTCAATTCAACTTTGCTATTCTTACTCAGTATTTGTAACTTTTCTCGACCTTTACGGTCATATGGTTTACCTATGGTTTGCCCTGAAGGATTTGTAACCTCGCGCAAAATTTTCTTTGGACGAGGCTATAAGGCACTGCATAAGTTTGTGATAACGTGAAGTTTCGTTTACTTACCTTAGGCCTGCATTTGCTTCATGAAATGTCGAGACACAAACGACAACTGACATAAGAAGCAATATTCTCATGATTACAAAGATTGGTGTCCTTTTCCCACAGCTCAAAATGATAACAAGCGATGTTCTAATGTGTGTGACTTTTACGTATTTAACAACACCAGGTATTTACAAATCATAAGTCAGCGTAATGTACGGGCATAAACTCGATCCCGCTGAAGACAGCATTCTGTCGAGTAAAGAAAGACCCGGGACAATTTCCGAACTTTAAGATCTTGTAAGATCCATTGCGCCACGTGATAAAGCATGTGTACCGCGAGTAAGGCAGCTGTAGAATCAGAGGAGTTTGCGAGTATGATCCGTTGTATCATTGAGTTAAATTCTATTCAACGATATACCCTTGAGACCTAGACCTAGTATATGATATAGTTCAAACGGTATGTCCCCCTCAATAAGGGAATTGCTATATAGCTGAATTTTATGTCAGAATAAATAGATGGGCCAGACTGCCAGAGGCTACTGTATGTGGCAAAAACGTGAAATAGTCACTTAAGTTCACGATTTGTCAAAAAGATTTGGTTGAACCTGTCTGCAACCCGAATGGCATATTATTGGATGATCCTGTTAATGTACACCTTGTGATTAATCACGAAAATGTTGGTCGTTGAACGGAAAAACCAAGGCTCTTCAAGAATTTAACATTGCATCAATGGAGATTTGGCCCACAAGAAATCCCACGAACAGAAGAACATCCATTTTGACACGAGTGCAATCAATGCCTGAATTACCATTTTGTCCATTTCTCAGCTCTGACAATTATTTATTGATGAAACATGGTATCAGCGGGTCTTATTCGGCCGTATGTTTTCTCAGGATGAGTCTGGTTGGTACCCGTGATAATTGTGCAAATTTGTTGATTAATGACATTCTGATTATACCAGACGTTGCAAATGTCATATTACATTGCAACAATTGCACGCTCCATTGATCGTTCGTATCAAAAACATTATTCCTATTTCTAAGTATTTACTTAAATATGACACTAATCGTCGAGTATTATTTACACTCCCCTCCATAAGTTTGCCAACCTTAGCTCCCCAATTGAACTACGTGTTAAAGCCTCTTTACCTTTGAATTTCTATTTACTCAATCTGCGATGAAAATACTTATACTATTGATGGAAACGTAATTTGACTTTATTTCCAATATCTATTTTTCTCAATTTTTCCCCTTTTACCCTTATTGGTTAAAATCTCATGTGTCACGTTAGCGCACAAGAGTGGCATTCGACGTAATCGTCATTCTCCGTGCTAGGAAATGTTTTATGCCACTTTCCATCAAGACACTGTTCCAGTCCATGCAACGTTTGGACGACCACTCGAGAACAGAAAGACAAAATATCATTTTAAACAACAGACTTTTAAAGAGTAAAAATATTTAAACATTCAAAGACAGAATCGCATATTTGCCGTCGAACTTCAATTTCACTTGGCTTTTAATTAATTATATTATATTGAAATAATTTGAAAATTCATAAGTTAAATCGATCCAATCCAGGCCATTTCCAGCATTCGATTTTAAATGAAGTTACAAAAAATAATTTGTGTTTGCAAATGCATAAAAGATGGCGTACTCTAATATTTTAATGTTTTTTGTTGTGCATTCTTACTTATGGTCAATGTTCAAACATTTAATTATCATCATTATTAGAGTGGTGGTAGTCAAACTGAGAAAATTAATCGAGTATTTGTTGAAGACATTAAACTTGCACAATACATGTACAATGAAACCTGAGTTAGTGAACACATCTCCCTAGTGAACACCTATCAACAGTGAACGTTTATTTTCGGCAAAACCTCTTTCTCCCATTGACTCCGATGTTAAAGTACAATCCTATGGTGATCACCTACCTACTGTGAACAGTGAACACTAAATCTTGGCAAAAGCAGTTGATGTATCCTGTCTCTAGTGAACATTGAATCAGATAAAAGATTTCTGCAACTGCCTTATTAGAGTTAAGCAGTTCATGTTTATAACCTGCCAAAAAATAATCAAAATGTCAATTTGAGATCTTGCTCTCCTCTTCTTATCTGTTGAAACAGGTGTGACTAATTATAATTCTTAATAAGCTTTGTTTTTGTAAGACAGATTATTCGTCTAGCATCGATTGTTTTGGAGATGATCTGGTTAACAATTATTACCTCGATCTGCTAAGTCCCAATCTTATCCCCATCATTTGAAAACAGCTTGGATTGGAATTCAAATGATCACACTCAATTGACTCTACCGTGTCCTTTAATTAATTCAATAAAGTCCTTTATCTGACTCAAACGTGTCAAGGATTCTACGATTTAAAGGATCGTCTCAATGAGATTATTGTTACACAACAAAGAATAATAAAGAGATTACAATTTTTCAATTAAAAAATGAATCATTCAGATGACAGTCAGGTTTAAAATAAGTCAGTTTATATAACACTACAATAAAACAAAAACTTGTCATGGGTTATCATGGGTAGAAAATACAAAGTTGATTGATTATTCCTTGCTCTCTTTAGCTTTGTTTAGTAACTAGTCTCTTTATATGATGCAGCAAATGCCGCGAAATCATGTCCCATAGTCCCATCAAATCCCACCGTGTCCAATTGGTGTATGCTAGGCTTCATAAAACATGTCGTAAATCGATCAAAAATCCAACGATGGCCCATGGAGAGAATAATATTTTCGATGGAGCTTGATGGGACTCCATGGGGTTTTGCCCAATCTGGCCGAGGGGCAAAATCGGAGGAAGTCCCATGGAGTCCCACGGACTCCATCGGGCAAAATCCCATGAAGTCCCACGAGGCCCCACGCCCGTCTTAGGAGGTCCCAACTTGACCATTGGTGTATGTTTGGCTTTAATGGATAAATAAACCTAAGGAGTTCGTGAGGCTCGAACTCACGACCTCATGGTTTAGGCAACAGCGCATATCCTTGTGTGTTCAGCGCTTTAGACCACTCCGCCAACTCAACACTCCCCAAAAAGGCACAAATTAATTCTCCCCCAATAAAACAAGATATAAAATGATAATGATGTAAGCTCAATTCAACTTTGCTATTCTTACTCAATATTTGTAACTTTTCTCGACCTTTACGGTCATATGGTTTACCTATGGTTTGCCCTGAAGGATTTGTAACCTCGCGCAAAATTTTTTTTGGACGAGGCTATAAAAGGCACTGCATAAGTTTGTGATAACATGTAGTTTCGTTTACTTACCTTTGGCCTGCATTTGCTTCATGAAATGTCGAGACACAAACGACAACTGAAATAAGAAGCAATATTCTCATGATTACAAAGATTGGTGTCCTTTTCCCACAGCTCGATGTTCTAATGTGTGTGACTTTTACGTATTTAACAACACCAGGTATTTACAAATCATAAGTCAGCGTAATGTACGGGCATAAACTCGATCCCGCTGAAGACAGCATACCGTCGAGTAAAGAAAGACCCGGTGTCAGAGTAAATATAGTCTCCCTGAATATATAGTCCGTAGGACCATACACCCTAGGACACCAGGTCCGGAGGACCTGGTGTCCTAGGGTGTATGGTCTAACCCGGACCATATTTTCTGTATTGGTATACAATATAACCCCGGACTATATTTACTGGCGGACTATAAATACGTTGACACCCGGACAATTTCCAAACTTTAAGATCTTGTAAGATCCATTGCGCCACACGTGATAAAGCATGTGTACCGCGAGTAAGGCAGCTGTAGAATCAGAGGAGTTTGCGAGTATGATCCGTTGTATCATTGAGTTAAATTCTATTCAACGATATACCCTTGAGACCTAGACCTAGACCTAGTATATGATATAGTTCAAACGGTATGTCCCCCTCAATAAGGGAATTGCTATATAGCTGAATGGCATATTATTGGATGATCCTGTTAATGTACACCTTGTGATTAATCACGAAAATGTTGGTCGTTGAACGGAAAAACCAAGGCTCTTCAAGAATTTAACATTGCATCAATGGAGATTTGGCCCACATAAGAAATCCCACGAACAGAAGAACATCCATTTTGACACGAGTGCAATCAATGCCTGAATTACCATTTTGTCCATTTCTCAGCTCTGACAATTATTTATTGGTGAAACATGGTATCAGCGGGTCTTATTCGGCCGTATGTTTTCTCAGGATGAGTCTGGTTGGTACCCGTGATAATTGCGCAAATTTGTTGATTAATGACATTCTGATTATACCAGACGTTGCAAATGTCATATTACATTGCAACAATTGCACGCTCCATTGATCGTTCGTATCAAAAACATTATTTCTATTTCTAAGTATTTACTTAAATATGACACTAATCGTCGAATATTATTTACACTCCCCTCCATAAGTTTGCCAACCCTAGCTCTCCCATTGAACTACGTGTCAAAGCCTCTTTATGAATTTTTATTTACTTAACCTGCGAAGAAAATACATTTAACTATTGATGGAGACGTACTAAGGTTTAGGAAACGATGTACCTTGTACCTTTACTTAACCTGCGAAGAAAATACATATAACTATTGATGGAGACGTACTAAGGTTTAGAACACGATGTACCTTGGTATTGATAACAGATGAGATGTTACAATATCTTACTTCGGAGCAACTAATATATCATGATAATTTTGCATAAAACTGATCTTGTTTTGCCCCTACTAGTCTACAACAACATCATTTCAAAAAGAACCGTTTTCTTTGTCAGAAATGAAACGTCATTATCAGAGCATTATTTCATTATTGCAAATGCATAAAAGATGGCGTACTCTAATATTTTGATGTTTTTTGTTGTGCATTCTTCCTTGTGGTCAATGTTCAAACATTTAATTATCATCATTAATTAGAGTGGTGGTAATCAAATTGAGAAGATCAATCGAGTATTTGATGAAGACATTAAACTTGTGCAATACATGTACAGTGAAACCCGAGTTAGTGGGCACATCTCTCTAGTGAACACCTATCAACAGTGAACGTTTATTTTCGGCAAAACCTCTTTCTCCCATTGACTCCCATGTTAAAGTACAATCCTATGGTGATCACCTACCTACTGTGAACAGTGAACACTAAATTTTGGCAAAAAGCAGTTGAATTATCCTGCCTCTAGTGAACATTGAATCAGATATACGATTTCTGCAACTGTCTTTAGAGTAAGCAGTTCATGTTTATAACCTGCCAAAAAATAATCAAAATGTCAATTTGAGATCTTGCTCTCCTCTTTTTATCTGTTGAAACAGGTGTGACTAATTATAATTCTTAATAAGCTTTGTTTTTGTAAGACAGAATATTCGTCTAGCATCGATTGTTTTGGAGATGATCTGGTTAACAATTAATACCTCGATCTGATAAGTCCCAATTCAATCTTTTTCTTATCCCCATCAATTTGAAAACAGATTGAATTGAAATTCAAATGATCACACTTAATTGACTCTACCATGTCCTTTAATTAATTCAATAGTGTCCTTTATCCGACTCAAATGTGTCAAGGATTCCACGATTTAAAGGATCATCTCAATGAGATTATTATTACACAACAAAGAATAATAAAGAGATTACAATTTTTCAATGAAAAAAATGAATCATTCAGATGACAGTCAGGTTTAGAATGAGTCTTTATAATTATATAACACTACAATAAAACAAAAACTTATCGCTAGAGTGTCATTGGTTATCATGGGTAGAAAATACAAAGTTAATTGATTATTCCCTCCTCTCTTTTAGCCTTGTTTAACTAGTCTCTTTATATAATACAGCAAATGCCGCGAAATAAAATCATTGCTGTAGTGAACACCTACCAACAGTGAACACTTTTTCTCGGCAAAAAATGTTCACTATACACAGGTTTTACTGTGAATCAATTTACGTTTGGAAGTCAATTCTGATGTTACCATCCAAAGGCTATACTCCAATCTTATATTACTCATGATTTATAAAGACCTATTGTTTTTTTCCATGCCTATTGTTATTTCTCAAAAATGGACAGAAAAATTAAACCAGATCAACCATTCGCGTTACCAGAGCTGAAATAGAAGAATTGGATTAGAATCAATGTGGGGGGAACTATTTATTAAGTCTATTGTTATCCATCCGCATTATTTACGATCTTTAATAGGTCCTATTCAAAGTTTACAGGGATTAATCGCATATTCAGTAATAGGACTTGTTTGATGGCTATTGTACTTGTGTATTGGGAAACGATTATGATATTTGTTGCCTTGAGACAAGTCCTTTATACTAAATCATTTTACCTTGGGGAAAAGCTCCATTATAAACTTGTAGATATTTAGTCTTCGAACATACTTGGTGACAGGGATACAGGGATACATATTTGGATTAACTTTTTTCTCTGAATGTAGTCAGTGGATTGTAACTTTTTTATTAATGTAAGTTAACATAATTAACTATTTAAACAAAACATCATATTAGCTTTATTGTTATATATTTTTGATTTTGAAATGGATGTAAGGTTCAGCGACAAAAACATAATGTCTGTGTGTCATATTACACATTGTCGTAACGGAATGTTACGTGTAACTAAATTCCAGTGTTGTAAACATGAGATTTGGTACTAAAAGGTCTTATAATTGAAAAGTTGGTGTAAACAACTTCTAAACGACACAATAATCACATCTATTATTAACAAAATTCTAAAAGCCTTTAAAGCAACCATTGTACCTTTTATGTTTTGTGAATTCAATATAGCGCTACAAAATATTGAACCTTTTCAAGTGTTGATATATCATTTAAAGATAGAAGCAATGCAACTATTGAAATGACGATGGGTATTGTTAGTGGGATCGGAATTCCATAAGATGTTATGTTCAACCAGCAGAACCCGATGACATTTTGATCAAAAGGGTACACATCAATAATATTTAATCAATTCGTACGTGCACCGTCTGGTACTCTAGTTGTATTAATTGGTTGGTTAATGCAAAGTCTTCCACAACAAATTCAAGATCGGATGGCATCATAATGAAACTTCTTCAGGCAACATATGAACATAAGGAATATAAGGAAGTTAATTAAAACCGATTCAAACATTAGCCCGAAGGATTATTACCAAGCAATATAAAAAACAAAACATGGTAAACAATTAAAACAAATCGATCAGAATGTTCATATAACAATAAAAGCATACGCTCTCCAGGCATATTGTTATAAAGGGTTACTTTTAAATTTTAACTATACCACAATATTATACCAATACTGTTCCGCTTAATTTATACTTTAATATTTTCTGGGGTTTTTTGTAGGCTGGCACTCAGAAACGAGCACTGACACTCGATGGAATTACAATGCCTGGTGTGGATTTGAGTCCTCAAATGGACAGCGGGACGACTGTTCCTGTTGCTGGGACCCCGGCGGACCTTAAACCAGTAGTACATTTGAACCGAAGTGGACGAGCACTCCATTCTAAATTCCTTAGTAATAAATCAGATTCTGCTAAAGAGATTGAAGCCTGGATATTGGGTGAATATGGGGGAAAGAGAAATGATATGGCGAGAGTTTCAGGTCAACTAACCGATAACGTTACTGAGGAGAGAATGTTATCATCGAAATTAATGGAATTATCAAAGGAACGGTATAAGTTCATATCTCAATCGGAATATGAGAAGAAAGTGTTTGTCGACAGGCAGCAAAGGAAAACGTCAGTGATGAAAGATCTCCTGAGGGGCATTGATGTGAATACTCTATTCGTAAAAAGAAAGAGTTCAAGTAACCAACATGAACTGATGACAAATGACAAGCAAACTTTACAACGCCGTGCGACAATAGTCGGGGATCGCGACAGGCCTCCGACCAAAAGGCAAACCTCTATGCCAGAGATTGCTGTGTCTCGCCCGAGACCGTCTACAAGCGCAATGCCAAAACTTGCCCAAAGTCAAAGCCCACCACGTCCAAACACAAATGTTGCCAACTTTAACATACCTACTCCTAAACAATCTGAAAAGTTACCTTCTGTTGGACATATGCCACCTGCAAAAGAAACTGAAAATAAAGAGGCCGATAAATTGAAACCTAAAACAAGAGCTACATTTCCCCCGAATAACAATAATGGTTTGCGAGAAAACAACTCAGTCAAATCAATTGCAATTGTTGCGGACATTTCTTCGCAGAGTCGGAGACGACACTCCCCAAAAGTAGGTCAGAAAGGACCAGTGTTTGATAATAGATACATGAAACTACAACAAGCTCTGACCAATACATATCTTATGGATTGTGAGTGCATTGAGGACATGGACATTACAAAAGTGAGAACGGTTATCAAAAGCATGGATGCCCTGCATGTGACTCCTCGTAGAATTAAAGAGATGAAGCCAAAAATGAGCGATAAAGTGGAGGAATTTATGAAAGAAAGGGGGCTGGCTTTTTGATATCACAAAGGCTAGTCCCGAAATATGTTTCAATATATTATTTCATCTAGAACACGCTGAAAAATCCCATCCAGAGGTTTATAACTAATATTTGTTTGAAACAGGACAATGCCCTTTACAGTTATAACCAATGGCCGCTATATTTGAAAAAGACCTATACAGAGTTTTTATAACTAGTAGCCTTTATATTTCAAACAAGACCCTTTCCAAAGTTTTAATTTGATACACAATGTATTGGCCCAAACTACCATCCTGAAAAGTAATGTTGATGGGGTGATCGCTCCTTTCGACTATCATATTTGTAAGAATTTTTTCGAAAATGTGGTCGTCCTTTTTATTATTGATATTTTTCAGGTTTCACTCGATATTGTAGTGTCAGAAATACGTTGATTGGGTACATAAACTAAATAAATGTGCAATATGTGAGAACTGAAGAAGATGGCTTGCTATCATACAGTACATGCCCCCTATAAGACAACGGAGGTTTACATCTGATAGCAAACAAAAGACTTTCAATGTTCCAACCTTTATAGAATAGTTCAGAAAATGGCAAAGGACTAGTCTAGGTTTTAAGTTCGTCAGTCTACTGCACGTTACGCCTGCTTTGGAAACTTTTGATACTTTTGAATATCCATAATTTAATTTGGGTGTTATTTTTATATTTTTTCATAAAAATATTAGCGCAGTAGACTTACGAACTTCGTTCTCCAAACCGAGACTTGTCATTTATTGAATCGGTCTACTGCAGGTTACGCCTGCTTCGGACACTTTTGATATTATTTATACATATTGTAGACTAAAATGTCTTCTTTTGAATATTCATAATTTTATTTGGGTGTTATTTCTATATATATTTTTCATGAAACCAAGCTTGTCTTTTGATGATTCCTTTTAAATCGACATGTGGTCCAATGTGGGTCGAGTTGTCAAACATATGGAGGGGAGTGTATATGTCGTAGTAACTTATTGGGAATGATGTTTACGGACGCATCGAATCAGTGATCTATGGATGTAAAGGATTTCTAGAGTATAAGGTTTCAGAGCCAGTCATTGTCGTGTTTACCTTCCGACGAGCAACTGGGTGCATTCTTAAGATTTTTGTAAATGTGTGTACTTAAAAATGTGATAAACATCCTTCAAAATAAATGTGATTATACACACGTACAAAACTTGTTCAAATATTGTTTCGATCATTCCAGATATTCCGCACGTAGCTTTATTTGATTTTATATTTGCATTGTGATAGTATTATGAATGTGATGTAAAGTAAATTACTTAGGTATTTGATATTTAATCACAAGTAGTATCCAAAGAAAAATGGTTCACTTAATATAGCCACTAGGGGGGGGGGGGGGGGCACTAGGGATCTGGTGTTTGATCTTTGTCAAGGAATGCGATATAAAAAAACATTTTCAGAATCGCGTGTCAACAGAAGTTCATATGAGCGATTCGGATTGAATAATTCTATTTGAGGGAAAGTGCCAAAAAAACAACTATTTGAACACGACTTTGGTCCCTGGCCACCGATCGGATTGACTTCGCCTTCGCCTCCCAGGTTGAGGGTAAATTTAACACTTAAATGTAAATGCAAATTGCATTGTGTACATTTTTATTGCCAGTTTTCTTATTGACTTACCTTGTATTCGCGAATGCCGGCTACCGGATTAACCTACTGTCTTATGGCCAACTCATTTAAATATGAATGGAATAGTAGCAGGTTCTATTCATGTTTAAAGGGTGACGCATATCGTTTAGCAAATCGAACGCTCGTTTCTGGTGTTGCTCACCGTTTAGTATAAAAGGCCCGATCCCGGAATAATACTCAAGGGTTCACAGGTTCGAGGTCGTTGTGTCAACACCTCTAACTGTTATATAGCATAAGTATATTATAGATCGTCACACATTTATAAAAGGGTGATTTTTATTTTGACAAATCAATTCCACATTTATGGGTGAAGTTTCAGGATCTTCTATTTGTGTATAATAAGGAAAAATTTGCATCTAAATTTCCCCATAACGTAATAGCACACAGCTTGGCATATGAAATATCCTACAAATGAAACACAGCAAGACAAACCGGTTTCTAATACAAGAATTTATATTGGCTGTTGTACATGTATTATTTGAACGCAATCACTCTTTGGATAACGTTTTCAAAATCATTATAAACGGATTACTTTATCTCAAAGACAATTTCAATAAACTGGATTTTACAGAACTCCCCTTATTTCTTAAAAATGGACTGATCCAGTTGATTCGCCTGGAGCCGCCATATTGTTTTTATACGGGATGCTAATCGGAACCCTTTAAATGAGTTACCCATAAAATAGTACTGGTTAATCCGGAAGCCGACGGGCGTTAGTTGCATTCGGGAATACAAGCTGTATATTACTTATATTAATATATTATATAGTTTTTATAGTTTACAATGCTTAACACAAAATACATAGCCTTGAATAAACAGTTCATACATTCTAAATGCTAATGCTTTTTCATTGGAAAGGTAAATCGAGGATTACATCGACTACAGTGCTGGTATATATTAATTGATCAGTTGTTTAATTGGCATATTTTCTTGAATTTTAACATTTAATGTTCCAAACTCCCACAAACTGCAGAAAAGTATACCCCATAAATCATATTTACCAAAATGAGTGTCTCCAAGGCTTCACACCAGCGTATGTATAATGCATTTGTCACGAGTTTGAGCTGAAATTTCGCCAAAATGGAGTAGGCTAAGGGTAGTCTCTGCCAGGTTTGTTTATTGTGGTAAGCTTGTAAGTGCTCAGAAGCAAATAATTCGTGTGCGCAAAATAATCAAATAATCTGATTGGTCTAAACTTTGCTGCACATGCGCACAATGTGTGCCATGTTTTTTCTAGTGATTTCGTTTCGTTTCATCGAGTTTGCGTTTCAGTGTAACTTCCGCAAAAATGGCGGACCATGGACAGAATTAACAGGTAAAATCACTCCGAAATTTCAAGAGAACTTTTTACCTATAGCAAAACTTTTGTTTTATTTGTGCATTCTATCTATCAGATAAGAGTCTCAGGGGTATGTAGGCAAATTCATTTTGATAGGAGCACTCTCGTTTAGTTTGAAAACGCACCCTTAATTATTATATATCAGCACTGTAGACAAAAGACACAATATTTACTTTTGTCTCTGCGGCTTGACATTGAGTTGTTGATTGTTTAATGTTTCTTTTCGGTATAGTATTCACGGGGGTAAAGCCGACCCGATGATGCAATGAGCTTGCTCGGCGGTATCATGACTGTGTAACGGGTCTTAATGTATAAGTGTGCTCGGCGGTAGGTTCAAATAACGCGGATCCTCAAAGCATGTGCTCATGGTATATTCGTGTTTTAACACCCGTGGTATTGACTACGTAAAAATCGAGCACTGTTCGAAAATCTTTTAACGTTATTAGAAAGTTAAATGTCTTCCTAAACGAATACACACGAAATTAAACATGAAATCTCTCAAGTATTCTCAATATTAATTTTTTAAGTCCTACATCACTCCTGCATCATCGTCTTTGCTTCAATATTGTATTCAATTTTGAACAAAATACTCAATCGGCCGGGCGCCGTTACGACGTTATACTCGTATCAACCGGAAATAAAATAATTCAACCCTAATTTCAAAAGTGTTGAATTTTAATTCAAAGGTTTTCAAGTGACTGCACTATTATAATAGATTTTGTAATAAAGTCGAAATTAATCGATTTTTAGTCGAAACACACTGTAGGATAACTGCCCGGCTAGCTCAGTCGGTAGAGCATGGGACTCTTAATCCCAGGGTCGTGGGTTCGAGCCCCACGTTGGGCGATATTTTGTGCATATTTACGACAAATTTCTTCAGTTTTGCTACTGAATGGTTAATTTGGACCCATGGGATCACAAAGGATTTCAATGGAAGGTTTTGGTCGTATTTCCACACAAACAATTTCAAGACACACAAGAATTTATCAAAATATTAGTTAACATTTTCCGGATTCAACTTATTATGAATGTATATTCAGTAATGGTAATATAATCCCGGTTGGAATGAAGCAGCTACAATGCATTGAGTCTCAGGGCTTTAATTCTTTTCACACATTGCAATTTTTTTTATAAAATCATCTAAAAGGAACCAAATCACTACAAGAACACATTTTCAATGAATTTTTTTTGCAAGGGTCGAGTTGGCTAGTCATGAAATCCAATGTGAAAAATCCGTTCATCACCATGACAACTGTTTATCTAGTGACCTTGCATTGATATTTCACACACGGTTCATTATGTGAATACTCTGTTTGGATTGGCTGGAATCGGACACACCTTGCCTATAGCTATGTGTGAATAAAAAAATCACATTTTCAAATTTTGAAGACAATGGGCAAGTTTTTTCTCAGACCAGAAATTTGCCCCCCCCCCTTGCTGGTTCCCAGATCCGCCCCTGGGAAGTGTGTATTAGGCGTCCTAGGAATTACATACCCACGGTGTTATAGCATGATGGTTACGCCACCTCTGAAAACGAGGTTGGAAGGCTATGTTCACTGATTTATCCAATAAAATGGCCGCGATGGAAGAGAAAACTAGGGTTGGTGCATTATTTTCTACTACTGTGTATCATTGAAAGGATGAACGATTTATGTAAGCGTCGCATTCGGTGATGCATTCATGATCAGTAATGTATATTTTGAACGTAGTCTTTGCAAATTGATGCCCGGGAAAAACATGAAATAAGAGAAAAACTGTCGAATTTGAAATTCAAAACTACACAGTAATTTGTTTATTTTTGTTGTTAGTGCATGGTCTACATTGCCTAAAAACCTCGGGGTATTTAGATGTAACCTACATACGATTATACAAAGCCAAATGAGCATTGGAAACCACCTAATATGTTCTACTCAGGCCATAATAATGTATTTTGAATTTTCGGTAACGTAAAAAATTGATGGACAGTTACGCGAACCTGATTCAAATATGAAACCCCGATTCATTGTTGCTAATTTTGTCATCTTCATCAGTACTTGATCCTAAATCTTCTTTTGCCTCTTCATTGCTATCTTTTACACTTTCATCGGTTTCATAAATAAAGCAAGCGACGGTTTTTTCCTTGCCTTATAGAGGTTGAAACAACAGCGTCTCTTGCGAGTCCTGAAAACAAATATAGTAAATTCAATATTCCATTTCCTACCCATTATAACAATAACATGGAAAGAGGCTATCAGATCTAGCAACCTTGACTTGACAGATCTACATGCACGTAACCGTCCGCTAAATATCTTATGTACAACTAATACAATACGTTACCGTCCATAGAATTCGATAGAAGTCATACGTAGTCGTCTAACGACATTGCGTTTGAAACCTTATTATTTACGATATACACCACGTTTCTGTTCTGGATTTGTCATTTTTGCCTTGTTTATACACAGTTTACTTACAGTTAATATTTTGAGTGGCTCTGAGACACATGTACTGAGAAAACACGAGAATGGACCAAAAATTATGAACTTGGATATCTCAGTCGGTAGGTTTACAGCTTATATTCTGTTTTTGTAGACCACCTGGCAGATAAGACCCAGTCTTTATAACCATCCATATATACGTCACCGAATGGAACTAGTTTAAAAGGAAATCT